AAAAACTATTCTTGTGTGACTTTTGCCACCTTGTACTGCATCTAACCCAGAAAACAGGCATCTTCCATTTTTGGCTCTGTAAGAAAAAACACAGCTACTATTTCAGATCTAGGGATTTCCCTTCTCTGCCTTTTAAAATATAGATGGAGTGATAGTTCTCTGGATCTCACATTCAAGTCTGTTCTCTCTGTACCTCTCCTATTAGTTTTGCTCTTTCTTTGAACATTCCAGATTCCTGTGCCAGAGGAAATTCCAAGAAATCGCAGTGGCTATATTGCTTCAGTACATGTTCCACACATCTTTCCTTCAGTTTTAATTGCAAAACCTTTCTGGACTTCGCAGCTCTCTCCCAACTGCACTCTGGGTGCCACCACCCATACAATTCACACAGGAAGACAAGATCGCAGAAAACCACTGCAGCCATTGAACTCAGACTTTCCTACCTGTCACATTCTCCTGGCAAAGGAGTTAAACTTACACAGCATTTTCTTTGAAAGTATATAAATAATTTAAAGCATGCTATATTTAGACCTGGTCATCAGAAAGCTTCATGCCCTGTAATTGATGCTAAAGAACTTTGACAGATTCTAACTCTCTTGTCTCATTACTCTTCTGAATGCCTAATTAATATTAGATGTTTGATGTTCTTTCTTTACTGAGCTAATAAAGTGATGAAGAATGACAGAGGTAGGTTTTCACTGACAGAGGACAAAACTGAACAAATCTAATCTTTAGTGGTACTAAAGGGAAGATATGAACTTTCAGGAGATAGCTAAGGTTTGTTTTTACTGAGAGGCTGTAAAGATGTTATGTGAGCATGCCTAGCCTTGTGAGAGAGAAACATTTTATTAGTATCCAGTTTGTAGCACAAAATAATTGTACTGTTCAGGTAACATTTAAAGATCTAGTATACATAGTTATAATGTAGTATAAAACCAGAAGTAAGCCATGGGATTAGTTGGGGACAATTTTGCAATCTCTGTCCAATAATTCTAAAATGTTTACATTTACATGATGAGATTACTATTTGTATTCTCATCTGGCTTTTATAATTTGTAGTTAATTTATCATCATGTATATAATCCCTTGCCTCACAATCATACATTCTAGATATAGATCTTACATTTCCTTTTTATTCGCATCTTGTGTTTTGTTTTTAATTATCTTACATTTTTACAAAGTTGTGGTGGCTACATTTCAGATTTCTAATATCTGAAATGAAAGAGCCCGAAAAATGATTTAGTGGGGAATGATTTAGTATGGAACCAGGTCTCAAACAGATAATGGCATCAAGAGCTTTTCGCCTCCAGGCCACTGACTCAAATTAAATTATTAAGTGTATTACTGTAATTCCTAGGAGCCCTCCCTATTCATGGACCAGTACCCCATTGTGAAAGGGGCTGTACCAACAGAACAAAACAACAGTCCTTCCCCAAAGTGCTTACAATTCAAGTGAAAGACAAAAGACAATATATGGATACATATGCTCCAAGAAGAGAGTACAAGGAAACAGCGGGGATACGTCTACACTGCACGCTAATTTCAAAATAAACTATTCCAGAATAGTTATTCTGAAATAGCTTTTTTCAGAATAGCACGTCTACACTGCAGGGAAGCCTCAAAATTAGTCGAAGGCAGGCTTCCCTAATGTAGACATGCTATCTCAATTTAGTGCTCCAGGAGGCACTGGGGAGGAATAACTTAGAATGGCCCTGGTGAGGGGTTATTTCAAAATAGAAGCAGTGGACTGTCTACCTACCCGTGCCTTATTTCAAAATAGCTATTTCAGAATAGGCATTATTCCTCATAGAAAGAGGTTTACAGATTTCGGAATAAGCTGTCTGTTATTTCAAAATTATTTTGAAATAACTAAATGGCTGTGTAGACACTTGCATTGTTATTTCTAAATAACGCTAGTTATCTCAAAATAATGGTGCAATGTAGATGCACCCTGAGTGTCCAGGATAATAGGAAGAGTCATCTCAGCATACCAATGGCCCAACCATTGTCATATTTATGTAGTCATCAAGGCAAAGGAGGGATTTGAAAGAGGCTAATGAGGTAGCTTTGCAGATGCTTACAGGGTGCTCTTCCCAAGCATGAGCGAGAGCTTGAGAGACAGCATGAAGATGCTTGTTTGAAAATGGAAAGGTGTGTGATAAATGCTGTGAGATAAAGCCTGACACCATGGCCAATTGGAAGTGGGAGTTGACCTCTTTATAGTAGATTAGAAATGATAAAGGGAAGGGAAGTAGCTTATGTTTTCCAGCTTATTTTCTTCCACTATTTGATCTGAGGAAGTGGGTCTGGCCCACGAAAGCTCATCACCTAATAAACCATCTTGTTAGTCTTTAAAGTGCTACATAGTCCTGTATTTTGTTTCAGCTACACCAGACTAACATGGCTACAATTCTATCCTTATGTTTTCTGTTACAGAGGAAGGTGAGCCAGTGGAGTGATGCAAAGATAGTGGGATGTGGTTAAAGTAAGAGGCTAGGAAAATGATCTTTGCTGCATCTGAATGGATGTGAAAAATGTCTGGCTTTGTCAGGAATAGAGAACATAATATTGCCACAGTCGGGATGAGAGCACGAATGAGAGTTAGCTGTGTGGGTGGATAGGAAAGTCTGTATTTTAGAGATGTTATATCGAAAGAAACAGTAAGACTTAGATTTAGGTTGGATGTGGGGACCTACAGATCAGGTGAAAGGTCTGAATGACAGGCATGATGGTGATGTTTACAGTTATCCAGAAAGGATAAAAAATTGCCATATGGACATCTGGTCAGTGAGCTACAGTTCATGAAATGAGTTGATGGGCTCTATGACTTCACATCCCATTGCAATCAACATGACACTTTCAAGTGTGCTCTTAAAACGTATTAAAATACATAACAAGTCCTAGCCAAAACCTTAGTTATGTAACATTGTTCATTCGCAGGATGCCAGGTGCTTCCTGCATGAATTACTGTGCATGCATACAATTGATAAGTTGAGAGGAAATTAATGAATCGAGACAAGAAGCCAATCAGGGACTATAAAGATTATCTCCAGTTATGAGAGGAATCAATTTGTCTTTGAGCTACAGGATCAACTCTTCTAGCTCAAACCAACAGATACACTGTTACATTTAATCCAGACTTCCTCATAGATATTCAGGAGTTTTGTCATTGTCTTTAATAGGGCCAGAATTTCACTTGTAGTGTGTAGCAAACAGGAAACATGCTGTTGTTTTATTAATAGTCTTTCTTTCAGTAAGGGGGATTTTATTTGTGGTGGATGCACATAAAGCAGAGAGTTTTGAATAATAAACAGCTTTTAAAAAGATCGTTCTCTTATTAACCTCTGGATGCAGAGGTTAAACTCAATTACATCTCATTACATTTCCATAAAATAATTGTGTGACTGCCATCTGAGAAACCAACGATGTGAACAGGTTCATCTGGCTAGCTCAATTGCCTTGTGCCATGGATGTTGTGAAAAACATGTGAGATCCTGTCCCCCTTCTGGGTCAAGCCATATCTCATTCCATGAACAACAGACTGTATTCTGGTATAAATACTTGCAAGTGCAATCTTAAATTTCACTTCCTCCAAGATCTTGTGTGAATAAAACTCAAATGCTTGTGTGCAGACTTCAGGCTTTGACTGTTATTTATAGTCTGATCCATTCCTGAAAAATATATGGCATCATTGTGTTCAGTTTATAAGTAAACCAGACTCAGGCTACATCTAGACTACAGGCTTCTTGCGCAAGAAGCTTTCTTCGGATGAGATCTTCTGAAAAAACTTCTTGCGAAAGACAGTGTCCATACTGCAAAAGTGCATCGAAAAAGCGGTGTGCTTTTTTGAAAGATAGTGTCTAGACTGCCTGGACACTATCTCACATGTAAGCAGTGATTGCTATAGACAGAATGGCTACTAAGGCACCTGTGCTTTTTCCTCTTCTCTCTTCTTCCGATAAAAACTACCTCTGCCCCATCCACACATGCCTTTTTGCGAAAGAGCTCATTCACAAAAAGGCTTCTTCCTCATAGAAGTGTGGATGTAACTCCAGTTTTGTCGGAAAAACAGTCGTTTTTTGTCGGAAAAATCCTGTAGTCTAGATATAGCCTCAATGGGGTGTAATTTGTGTCTTTCTACTGCATTTAAAGCTGGGAGCAGGATCCAGGGAATTTGGGCAGTGGGCCTGTGCAGTCTGTGAGCATTCCTGGTAGAATTCTGCACCAATGTGCAAGTGCATGATTAATGAACCATGCATATTTTAAATTTTTTGCTTAAAAAAACAAAAGCTTTTGCTGGAAAGTTGTTGCAGTTCTGCCTTTTGCACACCAGAGAGCATTATGTCCCTAAAACAGAGCAGCAACTCCCAGACAGCTAGGGAAGAGAAAAATCCTACCTTCTTCATAGCACCTGTTGGGCTTGGGGGGGTTGCAGTACTGCTATCCTTCTGTCGGTGATGCTTTTGGCAGCAGTACTGCCTTCAGAGCTGGGCAGCTGGAGCATGGGATCTCAGCTCTGAAGACAGGGCCACTGTCAGCAAACAGCACAAAAGTAAAGATGGAATGGTATGGTATTGCCACCCTGACCTCTGTACACTATCCAGCCACACAGCTCTGCAGGCATAAGTGCAGAAGGGAGGCATGGTATAGTATTGACACCCTTCTGCACTGCTGCTAGTGGGGAACTGTCTTCAGAGCTGGGTGCCTGGCCAACAGCTGCTACTCTCTGGCCACCCAACTCTAAAGGGAGCACAAAAGTAAGGGTGGCAATATTATGACCCCATTAAAATAAGCTTGTGGGTGCCCCACAATCCCTTTTTGGGTCAGGACTAAATGCTAATCTCCCCCATGAAATCTGTACAGTATACGGTAAAAGCATATAGAAGACCAGACTTCATGGTCTGTGATGCATTTTTTCATGGTTGTGAATTTGGTAGAGCCCTAGTTATGTAACATGCAATGTGTTACTTTTAGAAAGATGTAAGAATGAATGTAGTTACCGAATTAAGTCTAGCAGTGCATCTGCAGAGCTCATAATTGGCTTTCCACTTTCTTCAGTGTTCTCCTTCTGGGCTGCTCCACCAGGATGGATAATGGAGACCATAATTATTCCCACAACCACAGCCACAAATGTTGTCCACAGATAGTAAGTGATGGTTATGATACCTAATCGACTTGAAGTTTTGGCATCCAAGGCTGCTAACCCAGACATTAAGCTGTAGAAAAAACAAACACAAAAAAATACAGTATTTTTGCATACAATTAGTGAAACATAAAATCTCATTTCTTAATTATTCTAATTTATCTGTTCCACTATTATTGTCTAAGTAATGATGCTTCTGGAAGGAGCTTTTAGATCCATATATTGTAGAGTCAGTCCCCAGAACCTGGGAACTCTTGGTGAAATGCATGTACTGTAATGCTGTACTGCCCAAGCTAATAAAAGCAGATCCTAGTCCCTTGAAAGAAGTAGCAGTTTCACAGAACACCATGCATAGTCTACCCTCTAGCGGGATAGAGCCACACTGGGATAACGTGGGTTACATTTGTTTCGGTCTCCGGGAACTCAAATCACTGCTACTGGTGAGGGCAAGATTGGAGGATACCTATGACTTCTTTGAGTACTTAGACTATTAATTTATGCAGACATACTCTTTTTTATTGAAATATTGACCCTAACCCCAGCCATAGGCAGCGGAGCTGCGGCTGCCACCTGGGCTGTTGCCCAACCAACTTTTGGATCACCACAGCCCAGCGTGGAACTGGTGATCCAGTGGGGTCTGGGCCAGGAAAAGGATGGGCTGGGCCATCATAGTGGGGATGACCCTGCTGGCACACAAAGGCCAATGAGCTGGATCAAGGAAACAGGAGCTGCTGCAGTGTGAATGCAGGGTGGGCTCACTTTCCAACCCCCCCTCGGCTGTTCCTGGTTCACCATGAATTTCATTCCTTTCCTCATTGATTAACAGACATGCTTTCTTCTTCCCGTTTTCCCCCCTCAGTGTGTTTGAAAAATCCACTCTCATTCCCCTCAGCCCTTTGGCTAGTATTACATTGTTCTATTGTTTTGCTATAACTGATACTGCATTCACATTTGGGTGATTCACCTTCAAATTCATTAAACCTCGGCAAATTCATACCTCAGTAGCAGCTAGAACCCTGGGCCTTCTAAACTCTGCACCCTATGGCCCCAGCAACACTGAAAGGCTGGCTGGGGGAGGCTAGTTCCCAGCTCTGCCCCTTCTACTGAGGCCACACGCCTTCCAGGGACCTCAGAGCCAAAGACCCCACACCTTCCAGGGACCCAGCAAAATCTCTGGTCAGCTCTGGAGACTGTTAACTTATGGTTAGTACTCATACCTACTTAATTTACAGCTATTAATAACATGCTTAAATTACTGTTGCTGAGTGAATAAACTGACCACAACTGTTTTTTACTTTATTGGTAAAAAAAATAAACTAACAGGATATATTCTGTTTACTCATTCCAATAATGTGCCACCTTATTCTTAGCCTCAATGCTTCATATATATGTTGGTACAAGAACAATAAGTAAATGTTAACTGCTCCATGAATCTCAAGGGACCAATTTTCAAAACTGCCAATGGAAAAAGTGAATGTAATCGGCACCTAACGGGAACATGAATTTCCTTGGTGCGCGCATGCAATTTGGATAGTTATAGACAAAAATGATCAGTTGTGTGTGTAACCAGCTATTTGTGTGTGCAATGACTATTTGCAGAAGCAAATGCAGTAATCAGATGTGCAACTGAGGCCTGTGATTGTGACCGGATTTGACCAAAAAGCATAAAGCTCGTCGTGCTTCCCCATGAACAGACCGGGAAGCAGCTTGTGACTCATTCTGCTTCCCAGTTTCATCCTGCTCTAGTGATGGGGTCAAACATTGCACCTGCCCTCTGCCTGGGGCGTTGCTCTGGTGTAGCTGCACTGCCCTACGCAATGGGGAGCGAAGCCAAGACTATGCCCATACCCACTTTGCCCATCCACTTCCCATCCATTTATGTGGGAGAGGGGACAGAGGCTCTTCAACCCCGCTCCATTAACACACACATCACTGTGATTTACTGCACCAAAATTCCCCTGTACAGGATCATAACAGACCACCATCTGGCTGTAAATTTGCTCCAGACTGCTTTGAATTAGGCTCAATATAATGAAGATTTATGTGATCCCAAGCTGTGTTATGATTTAATAAATCTGAAAACACCAATGTTTCACTTGGCTTTGGCTAATGTTTAATTTTAAAATTAATTTCTAATGTCTTTTCAATATACAACACAACAACAAAAAAGGTGCAGCACAATATAGTGTCTCAAGTTTTAGTGTAACCATTTCATGCAGCTCTGTTAGCACAGTGGAGAGTTGCTTGTCAAATTCTTCATCACAAATAACGTATTTATTAGCAGACATCTGCTATTTACAGGAGATCCTGAATGAGAGCTCTTTGACCTTATACACTGTTTGGTGAAGTTGTCTAGAGCTGAAGTGCAGCTTAATCTTTATAGTAGACTAACAAATTTACCAGGTGTTCCTTGGGTCATTAAGGAGGGGCTCAGTGCAGGAGGCTGTGGATATGTGGGGTGCAGGAGTCAGGGCCTTCTTGTTTCCCTTTATGCCTGTAGCTAGTTTTGTGGGGTGCAGGAGTCAGGGTGCAGGCTTGGGTTCTGAGCTTGTACGGGGAGAAAGGGGGCAAGGTTCTGGGGGCTGGCCCCGACCTGCAGCAACCCCCTCGCTCTGCACGTCAGTGTTCAAGAACTCATACATGATGTCCATTTAAAGTACCCCGGAAATTGTAGGTGACACCCTTGAAGTGGGAGATCCTGTCAGTGGCCTGGCCTGTGCAGAGCCAGTCTCCTAACAATCTAATGAGCAGAACCAGCCCTGATAGATGTTGGATGATTGACTGGGCCACCTGATTGCTGAAGGAGTCAGCAGGCTGAGGCTAGAGGTCAAGTAGCTGCTGAACGCATTCCTACCCTACAACTGCACTTGCTTATACCTGCTCCTGCTCCTGCTCCAGTCCCCAGCTTCTTCCTGACTTCTAACTCCTGGTTGACACCTTTGGCTCTGCCTTCCTACTCCAGTTACACTTTTGGCTGAATCTTTTTTTCTGACTCTGACTCTCCCCTGCTGCTTTGCCCCCATTATTTTTTGACTGTAGTTCAAATTAACCCTTTGGCTTAGGTTTTGGTTTCTTGATACCTGACCACAACCCTGGGCCTCTCTCCTGGACCCATCCCTGCTGGATTTGGCTCTTAACTAGTAGGCAGGATTCTTGCTCCAAACACTAGACCAGACTGCCTATGACTTGGTTGCTGACATGGACACATCTTTTGTGCCTGAAGGTGCTATTGTAAAACAAATAATGAAGAAGGCATGGTGCTTGCCATGAAGAGCTTAAACTGAAGAAGACAAGTGGCATACAAAGAATAGAGGAGGAATGAACATTTCTATTTTATATGAATCTATATTTTTATATTTCTGCACATTTATCTTTTTTTAGTTTTGTATCACATAAATACAAATCTGTTAAACTAGTAGGGGAAGTAGAGGTGGGTGACAACCTGGGAAGCAGCTTAATCTTTATAGTAGACTAACAAATTTACCAGGTGTTGCTTGGGTCATTAAGGAGGGGCTCAGTGCAGGAGGCTGTGGGTATGTGGGGTGCAGGAGTCAGGGCACAGGCTTGGGTTCTGAGCTTGTATGGGGAGAAAGGATCAGTTCTTGGACTGGTTTTGTTCAACATCTTTATTAATGACCTGGATGAGGGGATGGATTGCATCATCAGCAAGTTCACAGATGACACTAAGCTAGGGGGAGAGGTAGATATGCTGGAGGGCAGTTATAGGGTCCAGAATGACCTGGACAGATTAGAGAACTGGGCCAAAAGAAATCTGATGAGGTTCAATAAGGACAAGTGCAGAGTCCTGCACTTTGGATGGAAGAATCCCAAGTATGGTTACAGGCTGGGGACTGAATGGCTAAGTAGCAGTACAGCAGAAAAGGACCTGGGGGTTACAGTGGATGAGAAGCTGGATATGAGTCAACAGCGTGCCCTTGTAGCCAAGAAGACTAATGGCATATTAGGTTGCATTAGGAGAAGCATTACCAGCAGATCCAGAGAAGTGATTATTCCCCTTTATTCGGCTCTGGTGAGGCCACATCTGGAGCATTGTGTCCAGTTCTGCGCCCCCCCTCGCCCACTATAGAAAGGATGTGGATGCATTGGAGAGGGTCCAGCAGAGGGTGACCAAAATGATTAGGGGGCTGGAGCGTACGACCTATGAGGAAAGACTGAAGGATTTGGGTTTGTTTAGTCTGCAGAAGAGAGGAGTGAGGGGGGGATTTGAAGCAGCCTTCAACTTCCTGATGAGAGGTTCCAAAGAGGATGGAGAAAGGCTGTTCTCAGTAGTGACGGATGGCAGAACGAGGAGCAATGGTCTCAAGTTACAGTGGGGGAGGTCTAGGTTGGATATTAGGAAAATCTATTTCACTAGGAGGGTGGTGAAGCACTGGAATGGGTGACCTAGGGAGGTGGTGGAATCTCTATCCCTAGAAGAGTTTAAGTCTCGGCTTGACAAAGCCCTGGCCGGGTTGATTTAGTTAGGATTGGTCCTGCCTAGAGCAGGGGGCTGGACTTGATGACTTCCTGAGGTCTCTTCCAGCTCTATGATTCTATAATAGATTTCTCGAAATGCCCATCACCTATGCCACCGTATACTGTTTTTTTACATGCCTTTCAGCAGAAATAGATTTTTAAAATGAATTTGAGGGCGGTACAAATTGGTGCTATCTCTGCGTGTGTGCTACCTTTAATAACTGGTTTCTGATACTTTTGCTTTTTATGGTTTGCAAAAATTAAAAGAAGACCAGTGCTGTTGATCATACTTTGAAATTGTTAGAGCACAGATGAGAGAAACGGATGCTTTTACATTAGACTATGAATACCTGCTAATGTTTAAATTATTGTAAATTACCCGTTAATATTTTAACAGATTTGTTAAAGATTGAATTCAACAGAATAAAAAAAGAGATCAAAGCACAAGATGATCAAGTATTTGGAAGGAAACCATATATTAGAAGGTCAGAGTGTTTCTGGAAACAAGTTGTTTTGACTTCATAGTAACAACACAGATAGCCAGCTCAATATATTTTATTTCTAAGCCTATGTCTACACTACAGGGTTTTTGCACAA